AGATAAAGTGGCCTTCAGTGATGGTGAGAACGGTAAGCAAAAACTCATACCAGATTTGCTAGGGAGGGAGTTCACAGAAAAAGGAAAGCTACAGAATGAGAGTTGGAAAGAAATAAAAAGACCTACAAGATGGATAAGTACAGATAAACATTGTGAGGCACCTCAGAGTTTCTGGGCTCCATCAGTGAACCCCAAACCTCATGGAATTATTAACCCAGATTGTGTTGTATGTGCTTTTTCAGTTTTCTGGGTGAGACATTTAGCTTTCATCAGATTCTCAAAGGAGACACGGCTCCCATACACTTAAGAATCACTGAAGGGTCTTCATTTCACACTTAACACGAATAATAAAATTCATCAGAGAATTTATTTTCCTAACAAACACATCAATATTTTAATCATGGAGAACACCAGAAGATTGAATTTGACTTAAATCTATCTTTTCTTAAGTATTTGTATTCCTCAAATTGAGGGAAACTTATATTTCAGAAAGCAGGACACACATATATTTTCTAGTCTTTGCTTAAAGTCATAACACTAACATAATGTTGTAATATTTTGCCTTCATTGATATAAGACTTTGTATTTTATTTTCTATAACTTTATTTTACTATCATGAACCACAAAACTCTAATAGAAGCAGCTGAACCCATTGGCTAAATACAATTAGAAAAAAAAGGGGCAATTCAACTTCAATGAACTGGATTCATTCAAGACTGCTATTTTGGGCAGACTTTCTTCAACATTTTAGTACACATTCCTAATTCATCCAGCAACTTAATTCAGTCTACTTCCTATGAGTGCATTCTGAAACTAATTCTCCCTGGCAGGCCCATCAGGAGGTAGCACTGCTCAAAGTCAGGCATTTAAAAAGACCAGAAGGAGGTTTTCCCATGGTTCAGGCAACCAACTGGTAACACCTGCCCTGAAATTGCCAGGCCAAAACTCTTTCTGCCCTGCTGCCAGCGTGGAACTCAAGGGATTCAACTGAAAACTTGTCCAGGCTTGCAGAAGATCTAAACTTCTGAAGACAAGATACCTCTCAGCCTCACATTTTAAGAAGTGAAACAATGAATTTAAGAAAAATTCAATGTACTTTGAAATTTTCACTACAGATTGTCAATTTCATCACCTGTCAAGCCTCAATTCTAAAGCACATGGATCATACTTAAATCAGTATCACAGATCTTTGCACTACCTACATTTACAAGGGTCCCATCTTGAATTGATGAGCTCTTCCATCAACATTTCAGAAGAGAAGGCAGCCACTAATTGAGACAGTTGAAGGGACATATTAACTATCCATTCCTATTGTCTAAGCTTAATTCTTGTATCAAACTCAGCAGGGCTACATTAGCTCAGTTCCCAATAAAAATACTTTCAATTGGCCATTCATTAAGGATTGAATAAAGGCAAAGTCTTTGAAGACCAATTTTGAGTATTAGGCATATCAATAATCATGCTATTCAATAAATGTTTGAGTAGTGCAACATGCCTTCAGGTACATTTTCCCTTTTGAATCTACAAATATTGCTAAGATAGACAGGGATATATTATTACTTCCCAACCTATAAAATGGGGACACTGAAACTCAGAGGTAGAATGACAGTTTTAAGGTCACTTATTTCATGAATGACAGTCTTTGACCTAGAATTCAGGGCTTCTAAATTTGCTACTCATTCTACTATAGTATATTATCACATGCAAAAAGAGATAGTGCTTCAGAGAGAGTTGAGAGATTTGTGCTAATGTATTCAGAATGTGTAAAGAGCACAATGATTCAAACAAAAAGGTAGCTTCATGTATAAAACTATCTGAAATGTTAATTCAACATTAAATAAGAAAATAATGTCATCATTAAAAAATAAAAGACCGATTAAACACAGTAAAATCTTTTCATAGAAAATTATATAAATGCAAAAAAAAAAAAGGGTTTGCTTAAGGATAAAAACTGGAACCAAACAATATGTTAACAGACATATTTCTGATGACTATTTTTCTTTTTCCTTTTGAGACAGAGTCTTACTTTGTTGCCCAGGCTAGAATGCCGTGGCATCAGCCTAGCTCACAGCAACCTCAAACTCCTGGGCTCAGGCAATCCTTCTGCCTCAGCCTCCCAAGTAGCTGGGACTACAGGCATGCACC